CCCCCCCAGATTCGGTCGCCCGTGGGCCCCTTAAATCTCGCTTTGGGACGCTTTTAGGGGCCGTTTCGACCGAGAGGGTCTGCTCTGCGTTTTCTTACGAGAATCGTTAAAAGTCAACGTCGAAATGCTTTTTTTTTCCCCCCCACCTCCTTTTTAGACGGTAGCAAAACCTCGCGCAAACTTTGTGAAATGCTTAAGGGAAGCCGCTCGTGAGATGCCGAGCAAATTGGTGCCAAGACGCTTAACAACCAAGGGAACGAATGAGAAATGTTTTTTTTGTGTAGAAATGTATTTTCCTCCTCTTTGCGGAGGAGATTCTCCTCTCTCAAGCTTGGACGGTTAAACAAAAGCACAGGCAAATGCTAATTACAAGCAAATAGTACATTTGGGCTTTCGTACAGTATGGTTATTTGAAAGCCTTTAAAAAGGTGGTTAAAAAATGTCCTCTTCTCAGAGGTGGGCAAGAAAAGTTGTAAAGGGAAGGAGTTTTTCTTACGATTTTCCTAGCAATACGTTTTATGAAGCCAAGCAGATGAAGAGAGAAGGAGTTAGGCTCCATGGGGCTTGTCTGCATTAGGAGCCTCTACTCCCATAGTCGTATTGACCCAGTCCCCCAGTAAAGATGCAGTATATACAGAGTTTCGCTGGCGGTCTAGCTATACCCCTTCAGGTCTCATCTCTTTCACCCAGGTTTGCCAGCGTAGCTATCTTGAGTAGGCTTGCGAAAAGATTGCACCCTCCAGCTGATGTAGCATTATTGGCAAAATCCCTGATCTGGATGCAGCTATGCTGACAGAAGAGGTCTTCTGTCAGCTTAATTTATGTATATGATTCGGGGAGCTGGTATAACCCTGCTGGCATATGCGGCGTCGCTGCTCGAGGGCTCTGCTGAGACGTACACAGTGATGCCAGCAGAGGCTCCATAATGTAGACAAGTCCCAAGCCAATCCAAACCCTCTCTTGTAGACTTAACTGCTCCTCCATCAGGGTTTTCCCACTGTAGCTGTGTGTTAGGCACGTGAATTTTTTTAAATTTGCAGTCAGCGTAGCTGCCGGGGAAACTTTGAAGTAGGACTTGGTCAGGCTGTTCCTTGTGTATGGAAGAAAGTAGAGTTTAGGAGCTTGGCAAAAACTGTCTTCTCTTCAGAGCAAATCAGAAGGTATTCTTTAATCACACGATCCAAAGTTATAGCATCCTAAAACAGAAATGAAGGCTATATTGCCAATTAAATGGAGCGCACAATCTGATCATATACTTTTTTTATCAAGCCTATGTAAATGTTCTAATTCACCTGATTGGTTATTCAGGTTTGGACCAGAGATATACCGTAATGTCTTCTTTCTATATATTCTGTCTACATCTCTAATAACAGAGAGAACTGGTATTATAAGTATAACAGTTATCCCAAATTTTATTTGCAGGCAAGTAACGCATTTTTCAGAACCTTTTATATTTATTGGGAATGAGACCTCAATTTTCGGATAGCTTTGGCCAGAAGAACTGAAAAAAATTAACACCCCCCCCACCACCACCTTCTAAATAGAGTTTACATGAAAGGATTTCTTTCCTGTACTAGAAGATCATAATGTATCAATTCAGAGTTTGGTTTTCAGGGCACTGCATAGAATACTCTCGTTGGCAGAGGCACATTCAATTAAAAATACTACTTGAAGAAAAAAAGATTAAAAACTGTAGTATATGCCTCTCCATTCTTCTCCCATGTTTCTAACTATTTTCTGAAAAACAAGAAAATGATGAACAAATCTATTCTTTGTGTGCCTCTTTCCTCCCGATCATTTGATTAAAAAGTACAATAAGGTCTAATGATATAAATGTAACAAGTACAATACATATAAAGATATACTCTCCTGAACTCTTGCACATAACCTCAAAAGCCGTGTTAATATGTTTTTATAGTGGGGCTAGGTATTAGATCCTGTAGCGTTAACAGGAAGTTTCTGAAGATTTTTTGAAGGATAGGTCATTTTAAAAAGTGTTTTAGCAAAGCATACTATGTATATCTATATAACATTAACTTTTATCTCCTTACCCCTTCCCAAACTCGTAAACATATTGCAAACTACCATGTATACTAGTTTAGAAGCCAGCATAAGCATATATACAAATTAACTTGTATAATTTATAGATAAATCAAACAGCTGTCAGTCTGTTTTGGTTGCTAACTAACAAATTAAAACAGAACTAAAGATAGCCCTCTTAAACAATCTCAAATGCCTAAGAAAAGGTCTATGAGGAAAAAGTTCCTTTTTTGAAATCATTCAGGCATAAGGCTGTAGCTGTGCGTGGTGATACATATAACAAGTTTATGTAAAACAGAGAAAAGTTTTGTTTTGGGAGCAAAGACAGCTGGGCTATGCAGGTCTTGCAGAATGCTATAATCTTCCTTCCCCTTTTGATACAAACCTGTGATAGGTTCAACCCCCGCAGCAATCAGGAAAGCTATAGAGCAGCATCTGTGCAAAAGTTGCACACAATCAGCATAAGCAATTTTGCATCATTTTCACAAAAAATACAGTATGTTAGACCCACGCACAAGCGCAGTAGATGCAACTACATGAAGACAGAAGCATACATGAAGAACACAAAAAGCCACTCAGACAGTCACAAGCACTGCTTTTATTGTTTATAAATAGCTGTTATTAAACTCTATTTCAGAGAATGCAAAGTAAAGAATCATTACACCCACTACACATATGTGCGAATTAGAACTGATTGAAACTTGCCATTTCCAGTTTCCGGGAAACTCTGATATTCTAAATCTGAACAAAAACACATGTGAAATGGAAACAGGTATTTTTCTTGCCTTTGTTTCAGCCTTCTGAATGTGAAATACTATTTTATGGTATTGTTTTTCATCTTGATCTCACTTTTACCTTATCTCCTGATATATGAGTGCAGATCCATGAAATAAGGTAAAATGATATAAAATGGAAAAACATAAAATAACTTCTGAATTTTTTTTCAACAAAATATTTACATTTCAAAGCTTTGTTTTTCTTTCAGGAGCTTTACCCAAAATAACATGTTTGATCAAAACATCTCTATAACTAATATTTTTCATCAAAAACTTGTAGGTAAAATGCTTCCGCACAGTTCTAAAGCAAAACCTGAAGACATCACCTTGTATGCACAGAATACACGTGCTAGCATCCTCCAAACACATGCACGCACATGCTCTTACTCTTGTTCTTGTACTTGTTTTTCTGCTTTACTTTATACAATATACAGACACCCACACAGCCCACCTTAAAAGAAAACCTAGCCGCATTATAGATCTTTAAAGTTTACATTTTTACTTGTTTTCTGCTATATACAAATTATCTAACTTTGGGTTAACTGTGGTTTGGTCAGAGTGGTATGAGCCCTGTAGGGTAGACCCAGTTATAGTGATATCAGGGTGCTTTATATTGATGTGGGTGTTTTGTAAAGCAGTTGTCCCCATCCTTTGGTGTATATTTTCCAGAGACTGCCTGGTGTTCCTTGTGGGCACAAGAAATTAAAAAAATTAAATTAAAGGCAAAGTTGACGAGTGCAAAATACGATGTTGCACACAGCATGTTATTTGGCACAGCATGTTATATGTATGTATATTATTGCCTGTGGACCATCAGAGGCTGGGGACCATTGCTGTATTATTGTAAGGCCCCTTTATAGCAACGTAACTGTGTCATTGATAGGGGTTGTTTCAGGATAGCTATTTCAGGGGGGTGGGAAGCGCATATCTCTGACTGACCCAGTTTCATTGGTTAAAAAAAACCCTGCATGTCAACCATAAAAAGAAAGGCAAAGCAGAATTGCAGTCGGTGTGCTTAGGAAATGGTCTCGAGTCAGCCTAATAAAGCAGGATGCCTTTAACTAGGGGAGATGGCTCTGGGCCCACACACTGCTTCTCTATGTTGTGTTGGGTGCTTGGAGTGTGGTACCCTCTACTTGGCTAGTCCCTGCCTTTCCACCCTCCAGAGTTAGCAGCTGATTATGCTGAGACTTTATCATACAAGCTGCAGACAGCCAAGAGAGCCCTTTGAGTGTTTTTGTCTGCTGGTTGAGTGAGTCTGAGAACCACAAACTTTGCAGGAGTGGGATTTAGAATCACCCCAACAGTTCACAAGAGCACTTGATGCAGAACGACAGGCAGGAAAGGCATTAAAAAGACATTATCCTACCAGCTGGACTAACCTGTAGTCAGCCGGGTGGATGTGCCGTATGCAGTTGAATCAAAGGGACTGTTCTACAAAGCAATTTAAACATTGCAAAATAACCAGTGAACAAATGCATTCAAAATATTAGCTAAACATCACAGCTAACTTCCCTGAAGGGTAACGGAATAGCTGCTTTATAGTGACATTCTTTAAACTTCTTTCTCAAAAGAAAAAAAAATCAAGTCCAAAAGCTAAACATTTTCAGACAGTTTTATCTACATGTTGTTTATCCACAAGTTCTTTGCGCAGATAGCATTTAAAAATATATGGATCCTAGTTATAGGCTAATATTTATTTATGGGATGAGAGGAAATGGTTACTAATGGTCATTTAGGTGGAAAACTGTGGATATCTTAAAATGTATGGTGTACAATGCGGACGTTCAGTTTAACGCAAACAAATGCATTAAATAATTTATGTAATATATATCCTAATCAAATATAACATTTCTTGTTAGCTTCACTGTTATAATCCAAAGAGATCTTATTTGTGGTAAATCCGTCTCACTGCCTTGAAATCCAGTGATCTCAGTGATCTACACAAATTTACATTAGTTGAGGATCCGTCTGTATATCCAATAATGATAAACAGAGCTGAATTCCAACCTCGTAACAATGGTTTGTATGTTGCATTCAGCCCAGGTGAGAAGCAGGTGAAAGAAGAGATATGTGGTGTTGAGACGTTGTCAGAGAGAAAATAAGGTTTTGGCAGCATGTGGTGGTGGGAGGGGGGAATTTGGGAAATTGCTGTTGTTCCCAGACAAAATTAGAAAATTCTATTGTGTGTGTTTTTAGGGTCATTCAATAGAAGAAAAAGAAATTCTCTCTACGTAACTGTGACTCTCCTCATTGTGTCAGTATTAATTCTTACGGTGGGCCTAGCTGCTACAACAAGAACCCAAAATGTGACTGTTGGAGGTTATTACCCTGGGGTTATTGTAAGTATAGCACTCCTAGGTAGGTCTAGAAAATGTATTGCCTACAAAGTCCTTTGTAATGCTGTGAATGCTATGAAAGGATGACCCTATCCTAAATACTAACATCTGCTCAGCTACTTCATTGCCATTTATTTATATATTATTATTATTTTGCACATGCTACTTCATTTACCTGTGAAAATGCCTCCAATCAAATGGAAACCTTTTCTGATGTAGGCTTAGGCAAAAATGCTGCTCTCTAAACCACAATGTGTTGCTCAGAGAAGCATGGCTTTTGGCTGATGTACATACAGTCTGGTTTAAAACATTTTTGCTTAGTTACATAAATCAGATGAATCCCATGTGGCGAGAGGGCGAGGCCAGATCATCGATGCCAAAAACAGCTGGGAAATCAAATTGCAAAACATGACACACACAAGCTCAGTGGGGCTAATCATGTGCATAAAGATGCATGCAAAACTATGCACGTGCTCAGGACCCTATGGCTTTGAACTGCTGAAGGTAGGGGAAAAAAGTGCAGTGATAGATTACGATGTTTTACAAGTTGAAAAGGAACTGATGCATGTCAACACTGTTTGCATGCCAAGCTCTGTTCCTAAATGAAGTTGAGAAAAGTAAGACCTTGTCGTAAGAGAGTTTAATGGCTTGATGGTAATTTGTACAATGTAAATAATTATTTAGCCATCCAAATATGATTGTGGAGCCTTAAAGTCACTGATCTGAGTTGAGCCCAAATTGCTTACAGATGAAAGTGGTTGCTGTCTTACAGCTGTCTGGCCATCTGACATCTGTTGTTTTAGTTTTGTATTTTCTGTTTCAAAATAGACAAGTGTCTTCATCACTAATAAGAAACCCTTCCCTGTCTCCAGTGGCAAAAACTCAGATCTCTGAGTGGCCAAAGACCAAATAGACAGGTGAGATGGAACTGCCCTTTCACCCTTAAGACTGATTCTTCCATGGCCTTTCAGGAAATCTGGTAGCAGAGAAATCTCAATATGAGTCATCTTATTCTGTGGTCAAAAATTCAGAGGCTTGCACAAATGTTGGACTTCTCTTTGGAGAAACAGAGTGGGCTTCCCTCTACACATTAAAAAGTGGGTTGGTGTAGAGCTGCCCACAGGCTCGTAGTGTTTGTCTGAGATTTTACCTGTGCTGTAGGGATTTGTACCTGCACTATAGGATGAATGCTGCAGAGTAACTCAGTGGAAATGCCCCATAGTTTCCAAGTTTTAGGACATGTTCCTAAATATTAATTCTACGAGGCAGAAAAATAAAAAAAACCACTTAGATCTTTTTGTTTGTTTGTTTAAGGCCCAAGATAAAGTGTTTATAAGAATTTGTGAACTGGTCCTGAGACTCGGACAACCTGACTGTTTAGGTCTATAGACCCGCAACCAAACTCTCCCTGTTGCTGAGTGGGAATGTGTGGTGACTTAAAATACCTTTCTGCACATGAGAACATTGCAATCCTCTGCTAGGCTCGCCAGCACGCACTTAAAATAGCCAGTGTTTCGTAATTTGGAGGGGTTTCTCTTTGCTTGTCAGATGTGCACTGAAACAAAAGCACGCTCTGCAAGACTTCCCCAAGAAGATTCTTTCTATTGCTCCAGAGAAATGGCATTGCTAGATTCTTGCCACCCTAAAAGTCTTGCACATGAATTTGATTTGCAGTACAATGTATAGACTTGTACAGATCAGTCATTGCTGCAGGAGGGGGGAAGCTAAACTTTTACATTAACTATCAGGGGTTGTTTGTTAAAACAGTCAAGGTTTTGGCTCTGGATGTCAGATAAATTCCCTGTTGTTCAACAGTCCTACAGAACTTTATAGAGCCGCAGCTTTTCTGTAGGTTTTTTGAACAAACCTATAGAATTTGAAAGCAGGGATATCATTATTTTTAGATTTCTATATAATGTCTTAAAATTATACAGAAAGGATACTATTCCCACTTGAAACCTGCAGGACTGTATAGTAATTTCTGTTTATGAAATAGAAGCCCAATGGCTTCATCCCAATCAAAGCAAATGGGGGTATTGGTGTACCTGAGGTCATGTTTGAGCCATTGTTCTATTTATGTCAATCAAACTTCTGTGAAAACATATTATTAATACTTAGCACTTTTCAGCCAATGATTGCTGAGTGGTTTGTGGACTGAGATTGGTAGGAGCAGTCAACCATTGATCCTCTGGATCATGGTGTATGTGCAAGAGGTCTAGTCAGGTGCCTGGTGAATCCGCTTGTTGGGAACTGAAGCATAAAGAGACTTAGTAATTTGCCTCAGGTCATGCGGCAAATCCATCATAGTGCTGGGATGAAGCACTAGCTGTCCTGGATACTCTGCCCTTGTTTAAAAGGCGGCTGCTTGTTTTTGTGCCATCTCTCCCCAGTTTATCTAATTCTTGTGGAGTCCTAAATTGTGTGCAGCTCTTGTAAGAGCAGATTTTACATGTTCTGCAAGATCAGTAGTATTATAGAAGCTGACTTGCTTAGTCTGTGTTTTGTTACTTTCTTTATTTTGTTTTGCCCGGTTTATGTGAACACAACTTAGCAAAGATGTTCAGTGAGGAACTGTGATAATTAATGGCTGCCTGACTTGAATGCTTCTCTGCCTGGACTTTCCTCTTCTAATAGGGGTTTCAAGGGAAGAGTATGCAGTGTGTCTTTTCTGATTTTTACTGTTTAAACTGGAAATCAAAGGCTCTGAGGCCAGCTTTTCAGCAGGTGTCCTGGGCTGGGCTCCCTTGACCAGAACATGCTGAGGGTCTGGCTGGAAATGTCAGTGATATAACATAGAGTCTTACTGCAGCACAAGGTGCCTAATCTTTGTGCTGCCAAGGTCTATATTCAGTACTGGCTGGGACTACCCGTAGCATTGTGTATAGTTGCGTATTCTTGGGAGAGTGTGTTTTAAAGGACAGAGCAGTAGGCCTGGACTCAGGAGCCTGGAGTTGGATTCCTGGCTCTGCTGCTGACCTGTTGAATGACCCAAGCTTCAGTTACCCCATCTATAAAATGGTGATCCTGATAAAGCACTTTGAGATTCACTTGTTACAAGTGTTGGGTTAGAAGGAGGAGTTACTTGCATAATTAAATATAAATCACACCACTATTATAAAGGCTTTTCCAGCAAAGCATTTAAGCATGTGCTTGAGTTTCATTGACTGCAGTGGGATTTAGATGTGTGCCTAAAAAGCATATGTTTAACCACAGAAAGAGGAGGTTGGGCAAGTGCCTTGGTTCCTGGACAGATCTTGCAAACCCGTGTTCAGGGTTGTCCTTCCATATGTAAGTGGCTTCATAAAACTCAAGTCAAGAAAGTTTTGCAGGGTTGGACACATCTCTTGCATTACATATCTCTTGGATAAGTAAAGGACATTCTATTCTACAAATCTCCCTCAATGGAGAGTGGGAGGTCTTGTATCATCACAAATATAAGTTCTCCACCAAATATCATGAGGTTTTGTGGTTGAGCTACACCACCACGGTTCTCGTGGAGTCTGCAAGTGGGTTAAGAATCTGGAAGGCCTGAAGGCTGAACAGCTCTGTGCCGTTGGGGTCCTTCTTCTTGGATTTATTGAAATAAACCAGACTTATTGTAGGGGGTTTTTCCACCCAAGCTTGAATTCAGAAGGCTTGGGTGGGCCTCATTGGTGAATGCTTAAGGAAAGAAGCAGACTGACTCTAAAATATCTCATTCTTCTCCCAACCCCACCGCCAATCTCAAGGCAGACTGGGACTTTGAAGTTCTTTTATGTACTGACCTTAGTGTGACTTCATCTGTGCTAGGACTCTGAAATCATCTATATTTCTCAAGCATGAATTTGCAGCCCTCAGCAGCTGTTCAGACATGTTAAACCATTTCTGCTTTCTGAGATGGAGCACTCAAGAGAGAATGACCCTAATATCTCCACCTATCTTGTCTGTACATCAGGGAGATTCTGGCCACCAATGATGCCAAGCTAATGTAGTTCTGGACACATGAATCATCAGCCTTGAGCCTCTTGATGAAGATGTCTGAGCGCATGGCAGTAAGGAAACCCCAACAGTTTTTCCTGGTTGGATTAGAGAGGTTCTGAGGACAAAAGACACCATTTTCCCCCTTTACAGGTTTGCGTTTTTAAGATGGTCATTCTGTGCCACACTTGGAACTAGGCAGCTCTGTGTGAGGAGCTGCCTAATGCTGAGTATCATAAATGTCACTGTGTTTGGAGTAAAGCCAATCCAGCTTTTTAAACATGTCCAGACAGTCAGGAACTGGGAACAAGAGTGAAATGAATGGAACAATTGTGATTATTTACTAGGTATGTTACAGTAGCTCCCAGGATGCCTAGTCAGGATCAGTGTGCTTTCATCCCAGGCACAGTACATATCTCTCTAAAAAGATGATCCCCAAGCCAAAGAGGTCAGTCTCGGCAAAGGTGTGATGCTGACTGACCACAGGGGTGGAAGGAGTTTGTTCTCATAGCATTTCTAGGGAAGAAAGCAGCTCAGTGCTCCTGGAGCCATGGGAAATTCTCATGTTATGAAGACTGAAAAGCTCAGGATTCCTCAGCTGTGATTCACTTGAGGGAGATTTGTAGAATAGAATGTCCTTTACTTACCCAGGCAAGAGTATTTTGTTATCTGGATGGAGCTAAACTGTTCTTAGTGGTGACAGATGACAGAACAAGGAGCAACGGTCCTTGTTAGAGAAAGGGAAGTTTAGGTTGATATTAGGAAGAATTTTCTCATTAAGAGGGTAGTAAAACACTGGAACAGGTTACCCAGAGAGGTTGTGGAAGCTCCATCCTTGGAGGTTTTTAAAACCTGGCTAGACAAAACTTTGGCTGGGATGAACTAGTTGGGGTGGTCCTGCTTTGAGCTGGGGGTTGGACTAGGTGACCTCCTGAGGCCCCTTGTAACCATAACTTTCTATGATTCTATGAACTGATTATGGACTTGTTTCTGTTCCACTGAAAGGAATGAGAAATTGATTTAATTGGGAACAGGACCAGGCCATTGAGCTATTGGGAACAGGTTCAGGGCATAGTCACAGCATTATCTAACCTGCTCCAGCTAGAATCTGGTTTAAAGAGATGCACCCAAACCTGGTAGCCATATAATCTGTCCCACTTGCAATGGGAGCCCGCAGACTTCTGGAAGTCAGTCTGGCGTTTCTTTATCCCCAGACCAACCCTGGCAACTTCTATCGTGATATGTGTAAAGAGATGTGTGACACAAACCTGGAATGTGCATTTGTTTTAATACAGGGTTTACTTGTTCTAAGGGAAGTGAAAAAATGGTGGGTGAGTAAAATGCATTTGTTCAACACTTTTTCATCTAGGTATCTTGGGTACTTATGGGTCCCATTGCTGGAGTATCTCTGTGGATCGCACTAATAGCTCCGTCAGACAGAAAGGCAGTATCATCCCCTTTTTAACCCATGGGGAATTTGAAGCCCAAGGTTGCACAGGAAATATGTGGCAAAGCAGGGAGTTGAAGTCTGGTCTCCCATGTCACAAGCCAGGACCCTAACTTCCAGACTGAGCTGGAATAGCTGTATGTTCTCCATGGGAAGCTCCCTATACAGTGAAGCAAGCAGACTTGCATACTTCCTTTTGGAAAATATACCCCTAAGATGGAAGTGGCTGCACTTCCATTACCCCCAGAAGGCAAGTGCCAAAATGGGAGTATGACTCCAGAAGTTTAGCCTGGACACCTTAATGTTTTCCTGCTGTTAGCTTTTAGAAAAATATATAATTCATCACCAGAATGCCTTGGTCTAATTTGATGGCTTAAAGAAACTAGCCATGTGCCTGCCCCTCCCTGGAATACCCTTTATCTCTTGGGGTCCTACCTGTTTTTGCCATAGCCCTGAGTGGCAGATTCTTATGCTGTTTTAGGACTTTGAGGACTACAAATAACGGTTTTTGCTGAGTGCTTTTCTTTTTGCACCTTGAACCCACAGTAACTTGTGGGCAGTGAACTAAGCAAAGGATATTTAAAGAAGGATCTATAAGGGTATTTTTGGTGATCATAATTAGAATTGCCATTGCCAAGAATTAAAAATTAGATCCACCCCCACAGTGTTACAAGATTGGCTTAATGTCATGGTTTTAAAAAGAAAATATTGGTAAACTTTTGTTTTATGGCTGTCTTTTTTTTCTTCAAAACTTTTGGCAATCTTCAGGTCCTAGAGCCTTCAAGGCTTAAGCTTTCAGTTGTTCTCCACAATTGGAATTTCTAGAAACTTTCATTTTGTTTAATGGAAGTGGGAGGTCTTGTACCATCACAAATATAAGCTCTCCACCAAATATCATGAGGTTTTGTGGTTGAGCTACACCATGGTTCTCGTGGAGTCTGCGAGCAGAGAGAGGCTTACTGAGAAAGAAGTCTTTGCCTTGCACTCAGCTGTAAGCAGTAACAAACCATTCATGGAATGCGTGTGCTCTTTTGATGTTAAAATAGATCTCAGTGGCTGCCTAAATGCATTTGCTTTGTGAATGTGAGGCCCAACTGCTGTGGACTCACTCTCTATATAATCACTCTTGTTAGAAAATCAGTTCTTATATGGGGCTTTATTGGAGTTGAGCTGTTGCACCTGTAAATTTACACTCCTCCTTTTCATCTCTCTGCAGTGTTGACGAGCTATTACATTGCTCACCTAGTTTCCCTTCTCTTGCTCTTTCTCACACTGAGTTCACCCACCAGTGACTTATATGAAATAAAACAACAAGGCCTCTTAGTTCCATTAAGAAAAAAGTCTTTCCCTTTTAGGGATGGTGTCTAATGATGCCAGTAAAGTTATCCTTCTTTCCACCCGTGTCTCTTAGCTGTGCTAGGGGGAGATGTCCTTTGGACACTTAATGCTGCATCTGCCTAGGTTTCATTCAGTATTTTTCAGTTGAAATTATTTTCACATTTCACTTTTTGGTTTGTGGCTGTTGTTTCATTACAGTACACACTTCTGTTTAAGTGTGCATCTCATCCATTTGGTAAAAGCACATTTTTTAAATATTTACTCTAGATACCTGCCAAAAAACCTGTCCCATTTAAACACAATAAGGTTAAAAGTAATACCAGTATCTGGGTTGTTAATAATGCCTTGAGTTCCTAAACTGAAGGAATTGTACATCTCTCCAAATTTTTGTCAGTTTTGTTGTTTGCCCAAAATCGTAATCAATGAAGGTAATCTATTCTACTTCTTGGTTCTCTTGCACTGTCCCAAAAATACTGTTGTTTGAGCTGCAGATGCAGTAGGAAAAATCTAAGTCTAAGCACCTGTTTTCACTGAGATTGTTTCTGTGAACTTAACCTTCAGTGAGTTATATCTGGTTTCATAAAACTTCAGTTTTTTCTTTTCTCAGAACCTAAATGCTAGATCCAAACTACCTTAATTGTTCTTTAAATCATTTTAACTCATTAGCTTAGTCACCATTCAGAGACTCTCCGATGCATTTTATATCATTTCAAAGGATAACATCTACCAGCATCTTAGCCAGAAGCCTCAGAGCCAACAGCAGCTTATCAAATGGCTTTTCAGGCTTAACAGCATGATCAATATCGATCGGGAGGATTTTAGGGTTAATAAGCAGACTTTATAAAGCAACCTGGCACGCACACCAGATTATGCTGCATTGAGAATTTATGTTAACTGAGGCCTAATCTGTGCTAGAAACTTTACCACCATAGCAATGTTGTTTGGGAGTGTAGAAATAAAAATATTCTTAACCAATTTAGCTGTGTCAGCAATAGTCATAGAGTAGATGACATTATACCAGCAAAAAAAGTCCTTTTGCTGATGCAGTGTATCCCATTCAGAGAACTGAACTAAGCTACTCTGGCAAAGGAGTTCTTTTGTTGGTACAAGCTGCATCTCCATCAGCAAATCTGCTAGACCACTCAGATGGTTAGGGACCTGCAGGTAAGGTCCTACGAGGAGGGATTGAGGGACCTGGATCTCTTCAGCATCTGTAAGAGAAGGCTGAGAGGTGATCTAGTGGCCGTCTACAAATTTGTTGGCGGGAGGGTGTGGAGCAGCAAGAAATAGGAGATACTCTGTTTGCCAGGGTGCCCCTTGGAGTAACTAGAAACAATGGCCACAAGCTGATGGAGAGCAGATTTAGACTAGACATTAGGAAGAATTTATTTACAGTAAGGGTTACCAGAATCTGGACTAGGCTTCCAAGTGAAGTGGTGTTCTCCCCTACTTTGCAGGTCTTTAAGAGGAGACTGGAAAAACACCTGGCTGGTGTCATCTGACCCCAGTGCTTTTTCCTGCCCAGGGCAGGGGGTCGGACTCGATGATATACTGAGGTCCCTTCTGACCCTAAAAATCTATGAAATCTAGTCAACAAAGTGAAGGTAACCCCTGAATAAAGTGAGATATATTGTCTGATAGTTTTTGATCATTGTTCATTACCCCTAAAAGTATCTTTTGACATCCCTTTAAATGAGATAGCATTGGAAGAAGGTAGATGAAATGCTAAGCCAGGTTTCAAAGGCATGAATACAAACCTGTATTTCTAACAGCTGAACAATCTCAATGCTTAACAGAAAGCTTTGGTTATTTTTGAAAAATCCTTGGGGTAACCAGGTGTAGAACCAGATATTGCAAGCATTTGTCCTTGCATGAGGTCTATTCTTCGTACTTAAAGTTACTTATATGTATACTTACTTGTAGGACACAGCCTTCATATGCCAACCTAATTCCACAAAGATCCATAATACAAATCCTCATCCATTGCCCATTTCCAAATATTACTGATAGGGGGAAAAAAAAATTTTAATCCATTCATTCTTTCTGATATGTAAATTGTGTACTTAGCAATTTCAGCCAGTAAGGAATAGAAGCATTACAACAATGTGATTCAAGTATTTATTTTCTTCAGTTGCATGAGGTTTGTTTATCTTGTATTTTCACTGAGAGGAGAAAAAGTCAAACATTTGCAGTACTTTTCTTTTTTTTTTTTTTTGCTTTTGGATTTACTCTGTGTGTGCTGAATATGTTGGGTGTCTTCTTTCTCTAAATACTCACAATGAGGTGTTGTTTTTCAGCTTGGCTTTGGGTCATTTCTTGGAATAATTGGATCAAACCTCATAGAAAACAAACGGCAAATGGTAAGTTCAGTAGTTGTGTGGTCAGTACTCTATTACGCGTTTTCAGTAGAGCTGCTCTCATTTATACCAGCTGAGGATCTGGCCTCAAACCCAGAAGAGTGTGTGTGTGAGGGAGTGAGCAAGTGAACGTATTAGTAAATGCAGCATCTAATAATCAGAAAAGATCATTTAAGGCCTGGTCTTCACAGCAAATGTTCACTGGCAGAGCTGTCGCATGGAGGTATGAGAACTGACAAACCAGTAGGCTTTGTAGACACAGTTCCCCTGGAAAAGTTGTGCTTTTGCTGATGACGCTTTTTTTTCTTTGTGGCTGGCTGCTGAAAAAAGCTATCCCAGTGAATGCACAGTTTCATGGGTAGAAACTACATCTGCCCTAGGACAGTTTGCTGGTACAGTCAACCAGTCTAACTATAGTAGCAAAGTGCTGCAACCAGAGTCCTGGCCTAAGCTGGGGATATGCAGGCCTTGCTTTGGCAAATCTGCTTTGCTAGCAGGCTGATAAGTTTCTTAGTCGGAAGGCCTGAACACAAGATGGGTTGACTCTGATGTTATATATGTCATTTTTGTACACTGCTGTAAGATACACCAGTGGCCAAAGCTGATAAGTGACCAGCTGTCCCTGGGTAGCCAACACCATAGACTGCTATTATGGTGATGAAGCTGTGAGCAAATGGCTACCCTGGAATAGAAGCAGGACACATGAACCCTGCTATAACTTGCACCAGTATAGATTTACCCTTGATTTTTCAGACTCTGGCATGTTACGCTGGTGTGGGTCTATAAGTTGTTCCTTGGTTACTCATAGGTGACTGGTGAGACGTGTCTCATACTTGAAGAGTTGGCCTACCAAACTAAAATTCCTGTCTAGGGGCTATGGAAAAGTTAAGCTCTTAGTGGGTTTTTTCTATGTTTGTACAGTGCCTAGCACAGTGTGGGTCCTGGGGTAGGGCTTGTAGGTGCTATGGCAATACAAATAATATTGGAAGATGCAACCAAGTATGGCCTGTGTTCTGTTTTAATGATGCAGAAGGAACCTTCAAGAGAAATTGGTTATGAATCATCTGCATTTGCTACTTAAAATGCTCAAATGTTGGCTGCTGTCAGACCCATTCTTTCCACTTGTTAGCAACATGACTGCAGTATTTATTTGGAACTTATGGGAACTTACCACTGTCCTCCTTGCCCTTGGTGTTGAGGAAAGCGGGGTGCTGGGGAGTGTCAGACACTTGCGTGTGAGGGAGATGGGTTGCACCTTGTACTTCTCTGGCCCCCTGCACATCAGCATCTCAAAGCACTTTACACGTTAGGGGTCACCTGCCAAAGGGAGAAAAGATTGGCATATGCCCTTCCTTTTATTTTTGTCTTAGTCATGTAGAAAAGTCTTGAAGGTTTTGTTTTAACAGCCTGCCTTTTGGTGAGGTGCTTCTTGTTCCCTCTTGTGAATTCAGGTTCTGTCTCTCCTGGAAGACTGCAGGGTTGGAGAACCTGTGGAGTGACATCACAAGAGCAAAGAGAGGGCAAAGTTGGGCAAGGAGGTGCTTTTTATCAGCACCTTCCTTAAATCTTTCTCAGTTCCCTTTTGACACCCATTTATGTTCAATGACTAAAACACATTTTGGAGAAAGCAGTCTTTGCTAAGGAATGAGCATTGCTTTCCTCTTCCAAGCCCTTCAGTTAAGGTTTCAGAAATAAAGATGCACATCATTTGTGACCACCTGAAAGTTTCTGTCAAAACCAGGTTTCCATCTTAATGTAAAAACACCCCCTCTTCCCTCCCCCCCCCCCCAAAAAAAAAAAACCCAACCAAAACAAAACCCAGAAACCAAGGGGGAAAAAGTTCCTGTGCTTTCAGTTAATTAGAACTATTCAAATACCTAAACTTGAGAACTTAGAAGGATGAGACTAAGGTAGTTGATCAAGCCCAATGACTTTTCTGTACCAAAATCATTTCTTTTAATATGTTTCTCTTCTGGCGGACTTAGGGCATTGGCCAGTTTGCTGTTGATGATACTGTATTTTAAGTAATCAATATAAAAACAGATAAAATATTTAGTTTAAAAGCTGAACAAAGTGGCATAACTGTAAGGAGGGTGGAAGTGGAATTTTACACAGTCCAAGAGTGATTGAAACAGAACCCCTTCTGGAAATAATAATATGTTCAGGAAAAAAATACAAAATGTCCATCAGATATTTTTGAAGCAGCAATCCCTGAGTAATGCCAGTAATGAAAGGCAGGGGGCTCTGAAATGGACTTTTGCTTTGTAAGCAACTGTAATGAACAGTATTTGGGAGAGGGGTCAGTAATGCAATTTGTGCCTTACGTATTGTTAAGCACCTCTCCAAATGGGCGGCATAAAATGGGAGGTTTATTCGTATTCAGTAACACAGGGGTCTGAACCATAAACATAGGAAACACGGAAAACATCAGGTAACAAAATCTATCAACCTATCACCTAGGTGGAGAGGAGAGAAATTATTGGGTACTGTGACACAGACCCTTGTATCTTTGCTGTGCAGTACCTTTGCTCTAAGCTTTTCTAAAATGCTTTTATCCTCTGAAGCAGAGGAGGAAACATTTTTATTGTGAAACATTCTCAAACCTCCTCTCTAGTCTCACCCCAGGGTGATTATAATCGCTTATATTTAAATCTAACATTGGGGCAGGTATTAAAGGACAGTTGAGTCTACCTTAAAAGTCACGTAGCACAGTGTTTCTCAACCTGTGAGTCGTGATCCAAAAGTGGGTCGCAAGAATATATGAAAGGGTCATGAATACACTTTAAAAATGAATCAACGTACTTTAAAAATGGATTCTTCTTTAAAGGAGAAAACGTGAGAAATGGTGGCTTTTCTCTTGCAGCCTGGCAGAGTTCCAGCCTCTGCGGGGCTGCTTGGGGCCCCCATACCCTACACGCACCCCCTTGCCCCCCTGCCCCGCACTGGGGGGGGCTGGGACCTCAAGGCAGGGGGCACCAGGTCAGGAATGAGGTACACTGGGTCAGGACTGGCACTTGATGTTTACAAATGAGTCCTGGTACAAAAAAAAATTGAGAACCACTGATGTAGCAGATGGAATCAAGATGGTTAGCACGGTGGGATCAGCCAGACTTTCGCAGACCACCAGGAGGTGGCTCTGGAACCACCGTGTGGAAGCCTCTGCTTTGCAGGTGGATCTGTGAATCTCAGTACTTGTTCTTTCCCACTGCCTGAAGAGTTAATCCTAACCTCTAGGAGATCATCTCAAATGGACACTAAATTTCCCTACCCAGAAATACACAGGAAATGGCTGTCGCTGTCCCGGTAAACCAGCAGAGCTTGGCTTCACCAGAACTGCCGGTTCTACATCACAGTAACAGGGCTCCATCTTCTTTCTGGTCTCAGCCCCCCTTGGCCTCATGGCTTTATTTGCCTTGGAGTAGCACTTTGCAGTTCTCCTCTTGGGTTTGGATCAGAGTCAGCTGTTCCATTTTTACCTGCCATTTACCATGCAGGTCACATTAAACACTCACATGGCCAAAAACCCCATTCTGGGTAACACACAGGAGGCTGTCCACAGCTGAGGTTTGTACTGCTGCAAGTACTCTATAATAGGTAGCCAAGCAGGCTGTCTGAAGCCAACTCAGATGCTGCACCAGCACAGTCATACCCCTGGGAGAGCACTGAAACAGTTGGCTTCCCTTGATATTCTGCCCCCCACCCAGCTCTAAAATCCTATAGAGAAGCCATGCTCTAGGGTACCAGTCAATGCGAGTCCCCAGGCACCCTCAGCCCAGGATGTAGTTTGGCACAGTTGGCTGCCTCTGCAGGAGGGGTCCAGGAAACAAAATAGCAGCATGTGCTGTGAGCCAGAGCTAAAGCGAGTTGGCAAAGCTTCATGGAGAGGTCCAAGCAGTGGTGAACAAAATATGGCCTGTGAGCCATATCTGGCCTGCCAATTGATCCTATGCGGTCTGCTGGCCACTGCTAAAAACCTGAGGAGAGATGGCTGTGCCCCATGCTGCTTCATTCTGTTGCAGCTGGGGCTGGGCCAGGCTGCACAGTGTATAGACTCTTCCACCCCCTGCCAGCTTCCTGTTGGTGTTGCACAGTCCTGGCGCTGTGGCTGCTGGCGGCTGGACCCACTGGGTTGGGGCACAATGCAACATACCAAGTAGCCATCCCACTTGCCTGCCGCAATGAGCCGCTGCTGTCATGGCACCACTACTCTATACCAGCTGTGCGGGGGGAGGCGGGGGCTCAGCTTGGGGCAGCTGCCCTCGACTTTCCTGGTATGGCAGTGGCAGTGGTTCATTGGAGCAGGCAGGCAGATGGGATCACTGCTTGGTGCACTGCATCATGGCCTGTCCCATGTGGGCTCGGCTGCCAGCAGCTGTAGTGCCAGGACCCTGAAGCACCAACAGGAAGCCAGGCAGAGGGAGGATGGATGCAGGGGGGCAGAGGAGTCCGTGCTGCGCAGTCTGGCCCAGCCCTTGCTGTGACAGAGTGGAGCAGTGTGGGGAGCAGCCCTCCCTCCCTCAGGCTCCTGGCCGTGGCCGGCAGGCTGGATAGTCCCCCCCGCTCCCCCCCCAGCTCACCAAAACTCCTTAAGTGGCCCTCCAGCCCAAATAATTACCCACCCCTGGGTCAGAGAAACACCTGCCCTCACTAATCTTGGCTGGAGGCTCTGCTGTCCAGCCCTCGCATCTGGAGGGTTGAATTCCCTGCCGTGTATTCAGCGCAGGCGGGAGGGAGGAAGTGATACATGGAAGAGACACATGTCTTCTCCATCCTGCGGGTTGTGTTGCAGCTGTAGGTGGTTTGTAGTAGCAGATAACAAGTGTTTTGGTGCCAACTCTGCAGAGGGCAGGCAGATGTGGTACGAAGCCACTGCTTTCCCTTATGTCATGGCTGCCTCATAACCGCGACACAGTCCCTTGTGACCGTTCTGTCCCAACCGGGTTTCCCATGGGACTTTGGTCTCTGCTTGCAGTACAGCAGCAGCAGTAGCGCGCGATCAGTCGCTGGTGAGTCACCACGATCAGATTACGCCTGTCCTGCGTTCTTTTCAGGGCTGCCTATAAATGCCTGAGTGACTTGAAGTTGGCATCGACACTTCTTAGAGCCTTGAGAAGTTTAGATTCATCCTCTGTCAACATATCCCCCTGAGCCCTATCCTGACGCACACAAGTAACACCACCTGTGTGTCATCTCATGCCTCCTTGCGCTGGTAGGGATTACATCTTTGCCTTGAGAACGTGGAACTCTGTCCATCCGTCTCAGTCATTTTCCGTCACATAAAACACTTGTAGCATGTTTAGTGTGTCCATGCTGGTCCTTATTCGTGTTGAGTATCAATAAAGACTTGCTGCTTTGAAGAAAATTATTTTTATAGGTGGCATGTCTGGGTCCTTGGACCTGTTTAGTGCCCAGGTGGGATTTAACAAATATGTTTTCCATGAACTTCTTCAGTGCATCTGTTTGCTGAAAAGAGGCCTCAGACCTGCATGTTTTCCAGCTGCCTCTTCACACTGGTAGCTGGACAGGCAGCAAAAAATAACCTGTGCAACAAGCCACAGGGCTTCACTGAGCTGTGAGGAGCACTGCCGTAGGCCATTCAGTGGGCTGGTGATCTAGCTTGGCTAAAATAAAAAGTGACCCAAATGATAGCCCAGATCAGAGCCAAGTCTTCTGCAGGAACAAATCTATTTAGCTGCTTTTCCTTCACCCCTCCGGGTTCCTTTTTCGGTTCTGCATCTACACTTCCCACTTTTCAAAGTGCAGGAAGTTGTGTAAGGGGATGTATTTTAACCGTTAGGTGCTTTTGGTGTTAGTGTTTTCAGGCTTTTCTTTGCAATGGTGAGGGCTAGAAACTTGTTTTTAAAACGCTGAAAGCTGAGATTCTCACAATATGGCATGGATCTGGGAGGTGGAGGACTAAGAAGTTTCCTGATATACAAAACTTGGTTTTCCTGTTGCAGATGTGAGTGGCTGATCTGATTTTCAAAGTGATATAAGCTTAGATTAATATTTTTACTCATGCCTTGCTGACATATAGTGGTAGAACATATTCAGCTAATGCATTTGAAAAATCTGGGGTAAACCAAACATGCAGACAGCCTTCAACATACTCTAATCTGGTTGCATTAAAGACTGCAAACAAGCCTTACCATTGCTGCTGCCAAGCCTGCAGTAGGCTTGAAATGTTAGCTAACCCATTTTGACAATAGTTTTAAATCCTAGCATAGACACGGTCTTACACAATACCGTTCATCTGAGCCACTGAAAGCATTTTGCACAGATAAAATATTATGCCCACTGAAAAGCCAAGCAGTTTACAATCACAAAATGAGTCAGTGGCAGAGGTGTTAACAAAGAGTTAGTGTTGCCAACGCTGAAGATTTAATCAGCAATCTTGCGATGGGCAGCAGCACCTACAGTCACCTGATTGCATGAGAGCCTCAGTCTTGAGTTTACAAGTAGGTAAGTTTCTAGTCCTCAGTGTTAGAAACCAACATGTGTGTGTGGGGGTCGAGTGGCAGGCCGAGGCTATGGCCAGTAGCCCGAAACGGCAGGTGGGTACTTTTGACCGATGGAGCGGAATTAGGCACCGAAGCATATTGGTTAAACTAAGATTGCTTTACTTACACTGGTGGTGATTACAGTGCAGGACGGAAAACTGACTTAGGTTACAGTTGCAAACGGAACGAGATGAAAGCTTTCTGAGAACGAAATGAGACGTCCATGAACGGCTTAACGAGCATGCAGGGCGCGGGGTACGTCAGGTAGGTCGGTGACGGGGAGTCACTGGTGGGTGATCAGTCCGCCAGGTTTACTCCGAGAAATGTGCGGAGTTCTCCAACGTGGGCGGAAACTGCTTTAACTTTTATATGACTAACAAGCCAATCGCTAGTCGCCAAATATGAATAATTTGGAACCGGCCAATGGTGGTGTGCGTGTTTGCATAAAGTTGGCGGGAACTTTTTCTCAGCTGTACTTTTCCACTGAGATGTAGCATTTAGTTACTGGGCTCTGACATAGCGGAATTTTCCACTATGGCACATGCATCAAACCAAAGGAATTTTCCACTAAGGCACATGTATCAAACCAAAGGAATTTTCCACTGTGCCATAGGCATACAACTACTGGGTTCTGACAGTGTGAACTCTGCTAGCTGAGAAACCACAAAGCCAATAAGAAGAACGAACAACTATGAAAATGCAGAGCTTTCAGCAGCCTGGTTAAAGTTCCCTTCTCATTGGTTCAGCTTTCACTGGTGTTGATGCTGTCAACGTTGTGCTAATACTCTAGTTACCAATAGAGTCTTCCAGGGAAAAAAAGTGACTAGGGGAGCTCTGATCTCCTGTGGAAAACAAGGCGGCCAGGACAACTTCAAAAGGGGGAAGGAAGGAAAAGAGACAATTTTCAGGTCTTCAGATGACAGAAAAATTAGACAGGTGTGTTCAATCAGCAGCAAATATATTTGACACAAAATACTTGGGTTCACAGGGATGAGGGTATAATATGACAGAAAGTTCAGACATAACCTCTTTGTGCTACAACAGTCGGTTCTGCACTTGTTAGTCTTGTTAACCTAAAGTTACAGTAAGAAATTCTTAATTCAAGTCTCCATCAGAGGACCTTGTGTTGTGCTTTGATGTCCCTTTTTTACTTGGGTTGTGTAGTGTGTGTTTAACCTTCACACCATGACAAATTCTCCCCTTTGATATGCATCCCATTAATTTCAATGAGAGTCATCTTCAGGCTGCCTAGGGCCGGATTTGCATCATTAAAGGTTTAGGTGGTCATTGCTAACGACTTATAAAACTGGTCCATCCTGTTGCGTAAGTGTGTGAAGTCTGTTTTATAGAAGCAGATGACACCTTGCTTTGTTTTTTTGCCTTAGCTGGTGGCGTCAATTGTCTTCATCAGCTTTGGAGTCCTTGCTGCATTCTGCTGTGCCATCGTGGATGGTGTCTTTGCTGCTAGACACATAGTAAGTATTTCCTAAAGAACACGCATGCGGCAGCATATTCCTAATATAGGACAGATACTGTCTTTGCAGTGGATCAGCCCATCTGTGTAGTTCAGGAGGAGAATAGGTTCTGAATGATATTTAGCAATACATTGGTCTTAAGTCTTGTGTTACAGCCATGGGTTCAAATATAACATCACTCATCAGCTGCTATCCAGATGTATGTTTCACATTCTCTGTGGGGAGCCAACTAGTCACCCTCACACAGATATGATCTTGAGAGCTGTTCAGATCTTTTTTGTTGAAATCTTTTTTGACTAAAAATAGCTTTTTAACTTTTTTTTTTTTTTTTAGGAAAATGTGTCAAGTTTGACAACATTCCCATGAGAAATATAATAAAAGGTTTTCATTTTGGAACCTGGAGAATTTTGTGTTTATTTTCAAATGTTATTTCACATGTTATTTTCTTGGATGGGTTTTCTATAACTTTTTCCTTTATTTTATCACATATGAGTAGTTATCTTGCATAACATATATTGTAGCTATTGCCATGTCATAATATCATGTAGTTAAAATACTCTATTTAATTTTATTTTTTCAAATCATTTAAGGGAGATCGTTTCTTAGTACTGAAGCACTATATCTTCCCCTAGATTAGTCTTTCCCATTTGTAATGCAATGAAGTAGCTTGATATTTCAGCATAGTTTATCAAACTCTTTCATTATAACACAAACCAGAATGATTGATCCTAGAAGGGACTATGTTTCTTTTGTTCTGTACTGAGCAACAAACAGCAGATATGTTGATCTCCAAAAGGTAGTTTCAGTTGGTGCTAATTTATTATTATTCATCACAACCTGGCAGTAGTAGGACATAAAATGCATATAATGTAAGAAGAACAATATAACAATGAAAAAACTTGAATAAAAATGTTGAGTGAAAGTTTGAAATGTTAAACAGACTTAAAAATTTCCAAATACACAAATTCTGTTTCATGGGAAATTAAAAAAAAAAAAAAGTTGGTAGTTTTGTTTGGAATCGGAGTAAGGGCAGATTTCACATGATCGGAACTTCCCGTAACGTGGGAATTCCAAGTTTCCACCAGCCCTAGCCCCTCCTTGTCTTTGCTTCTGAATGGAAACACTTCCATTTGCCGACAGAAGAGAGGTGACTTGACTGTAGTGTTTGACTGAGTAAAATGCTTGGCTCCATGGCATTTCTCTGCATCTGTCCAGGTGTTATGAGTAGATCCAGGCCCTTTCCGACTTTCACACTTCTGTGCCAGGCAGAGCATTGGCTCTGATTAAAATACATACCCATTTCCCATGCTGTGCAGTGGTGGGAATCTGAGCTCCGTCCCAGCGTTCATACACAGGTGACAGTGAAAGCTTGCCAAGCTCTGGTTTCTGCCTCTTGATTAATCAACAAGTTTTTGGCTTTGCATGGGTCCAAGAAGGTCAGCTTCTTACAAGTGTTAAGGATGTCCAAGTTGTCGCTTCAAGTACATAGTGTTCCTTCTGTACCTGCCACCACCTCGCATGCAGTATAAACATAGAGCCAGGTTTCGCACAGAGCACAGCTTCCAGCAGCTCGCATGGAGACAGCTGAACAAAGATAAGTCTCTCTGGCTGGAGGGCTGTTGCCAGGTGCGGTCTCAGCCCCCGCTTCCTGTCTGGTCCATGTTTAGGATTACTGTTGTTTTCAACCTCAGCTAAAGTATAATAGAGGCACAGGTCAGCCCAGCAGGAGGTTTGTGCCCAGCCTGGGGACCCACCCTGTTTGCACTGAGGACTCTTAACGAAACTGCTTGAGTACTGATAGCCCTTCAGTGCCTTTCTGCAACTCCTCCATGTACCCAAGCCAGTTCTCCCATTTCACCAGGACAGAACCGGGGAAGCTCCGCTTTCTCTATCATTCAGGGATGGTGGGGCATGCCCTCAGGGGTCCCAGTGGTGCAGATGCAAGAGTACAGCACTGGTGGGGGGACACAAACTCAGGTAGGGCATTGTGATATGGCTGTTTACACCCAGGCCAGGCTACCTCAGGTGCCAGTCTCCAAAGCTGACTGCAATGAAGAGTAAAACAGTCCTGGTGGGAGCTGGAATCCCTCTGACCCATGGCTGTGTTAGGTAGGGAGCACGGGATTCTTTTGAGAATCTGGCCCGTGTCCCAACTCAGCTAGTTGAAATGCCTGAGGTTGGCGCCTCTGGTTTTTCCTGAAATGCTAAACCCAGTATTTTCTTCTGCAGGATCTCAGGCCGCTGTATGCAGGACGATGTCAGTATTACTCCAAGAGTACAACTCCACCTGAGGTGAGAGCGCCTTTTACCGGTGCCACCTCCTAAGGGGACTGGCACTGTCTAGGGGCTGGGGGCCCTGCAAACTTGTCAGGGGCCCAGATTCCCAAGTTTGAAGTCATTTATGCTCCAGGAACAGCCTCTGGGAAGAAAGGCAGCACTAGACTTGAAGAGGTAGGAGTGAGTGCAATGTCCCTGAGATCTCAGGGGAGCACAGCAGGGGGAGAAGGGGTTGGCTGCAGCACAGTGGGGTGGGAAAGGACATTTGGGAAAGGGATAAATGGAAAGTGAAGGGGGAGGGGAGAGATCAGAGCCTGGATAAGAGGTGATGTCAGCGTGATGGAGAAGACAGGTAGAGGGAAGGTGACAGACCCCAGAGACAATTCCACAGCTATTGGTATTGCTTCACTAGGCTCGCTGCCAGCAATGGTAGCACCAGGCTTAGTGCAGAGGAGGGGCTGAGATCCCAGGCAGAGGTAATGTTAACCCCAGAGCTTCAGAAAAGCTTGTAAACCTCCATGTTAAAAAACAACCTCTGTGTGCATCCTGTGCCAGGTGGTGGGATTTCCTCCAGCAGTGGTCTGGGGCACATGGTAGCAGTACCTCATAGTGGATCAGGGGGAAACTCTAATCTTCCATTGGGCCAGGAGGCATCTCCAGATTATAACAGGATAGATGGACAGATGGTGCCCCTCTGCTTCCAAGAGTTGTTTTAGCCCATGAATCTTTCTCCCAGTTGACCTTGGCCCATGGACAGTTCCACGCCCAGCAGCATTCTCTGCGAGGGCCTATCTGCACACGCACATTGTACCAGTACAACCCTTTCCTTGTGTGTAGGCAGTAACACAAGTATAAACCTGCTTGTATTGCTGTCACTGTTCCTGTGTGGGAAGAGGAGTAATCAACACTGTTTTAAACCTCTGATCCCAACAAACATGCGTGTGTGTGTTCTCCCCAGGGGCTCTCTGTGCTATAGCAGTAAACAAAAAGCCCTGAACTGACCTTTATACCAAAGCTGCATGTAGAGCAGGCCAAAGAGAAACAGAAATCAAGGATGTGGCTTGGGTCTTCATTGGTTTGCTGTATTGCCCTCCTTCTGCATTCACACAGGCCGTCTGTCACCCACAACGCCGCGGGCCCTGTACACCAAAAATCAAAACCAACACCTGCTTCTGCTGCGACCTGTACAATTGTGGGAAGTGAGTAAACCAAAAATAGCTTTCCCAGCCTAGGGTAAGAGCAAATGCTGGATGTGTTGGCTTGCCCTAGTTTGTGGAGCGGGGTTAGGGGATTCTATGGGATGTCATCAGAGGGACGGATGGCATTGACTAATGAT